TGGAGGATGGGAGTTCTAGTGTGGTGAAAGGCTCATGGACTTTGGGGACAGACAGACTTAGATTTCAATCCTGACTCTAGAGTGTTGATATAAGATTCTATGAAAGTCTATACATTCAGCTCTTAGAGTGTTAGGACATGGTAAATACTCATAAATAATTATTATATTTGTAAGGAAGACAGGACAATCTATAATATGTATTAAATTTTAAAATAATTCTTATGTAAAAGTTCAACATAAAAGTAACAGTTTTTTTTTTTTTAGACGGAGTTTTGCTCTGTCACCCAGGCTGGAGGGCAGCGGCGTGATCTCACTGCAACCTCCCCCATATGGGTTCAAGCGATTCTCCTGCCTCAGCCTCCCTAGTAGCTAGGACTACAGGTGCACACTGCCTCACACAGATAATTTTTGTATTTTTAGTAGAGACAGGGTTTCACCATGTTGGCCAGGCTGTTCTCAAACTCTTGACCTCAATTGCTCTGTCCACCTCAGCCTCCCAAAGTGCTGGGATTATAGGCATGAGCCATCGCGCTTGGCCAAAAGTAACAGTTTTTATTGTGGAAAACCAGGGGAAAGAAGAAACTTAAAATAAGGAAAATAAAAATCAACCAAAATTTTACTTCAGTGAAAACCTTTATTAATATTTTGGCACTTTTTTCCTTCCAATGTTTTACTATGCGTAGTTTACACAATTGGAATTAGGCTAGATATAATGCTGGATATAATCCGATATTTTTCACTTAAAACATAATTTTTCTCAGTAAAAATTTTTTACAAATGCTTGTTCTAAAAAATTTACAATTTAAAGAAATTTTTAAACTTCAGTAATTTAATTATCCGTTTCTTAAATGCTGAACATTTTGCTTCTATTTTTTTTTGCTCTCATGAAAAATGCTTTCACATAAAATCCTCAAAATAATATTTTTATCTATATTTGTGTTTATTTACTTAAGATGGTTTCTTAGAAGGAGTTTTGCCAAGTAAAGGGTATGTACTTTTTTTTTTTTTTTTTTTGAGATGGAGTTTCGCTCTTGTTACCCAGGCTGGAGTGCAATGGTGCAATCTCAGCTCACCGCAACCTCCGCCTCCTGGGTTCAGGCAATTCTCCTGCCTCAGCCTCCTGAGTAGCTGGGATTACAGGCAGGCGCCACCATGTCCAGCTAATTTATTGTATTTTTAGTAGAGACAGGGTTTCACCATGTTGACCAGGATGGTCTCGATCTCTTGATCTCGTAATCCACCCGCTTCGGACCCCCTAAGTGCTGGGATTACAGGCTTGAGCCACTGCGCCTGGCCCAAGGGTATGTACATTTTTAATCCTCTTGCTACACTCAGCTAGGCAGCCCATCAGAAAAGCTATAGCAACTTAAACTCCGAGACGGTTTAAAATTCAAGTTATTGGCTGGGCGCGGTGGCTCACACCTGTAATCCCAGCACTTTGGGAGGCCGAGGTGGGTGGATCACGAGGTCTGGAGTTCGAGACCAGCCTGTCCAATAAGGTGAAACCCCCATCTCTACTGAAAAAAAAAAAAAAAAAATACTAAAATTAGCTGGGCGTGGTGGTGCATGCCTGTAGTCCCAGCTACTCGGGAGGCTGAGGCAGGAGAATCACTTGAAGCTGGGAGGTGGAGGTTGCAGTGAGCCAAGATCACGCCACTGCACTCCAGCCTGGGTAACAAAGCAAGACTCCGTCTCAAAATAAAAAATTTAAAAGATAAATAAAAATAAATAAAAACCTTAAAAAAAAAAAACCATGTTATTTGCCTTACTGCTCACTCCCATGAGGAGTCCAAGACAGGACTACATTGCCAGAGTGCTCTGCTCTGTTACTTGGGAGAACCGACAATGAGGGCTGCCCAATGTGCACTTTCTAACAGTGCCCCAGATTCCTTTTGGTGAATTGTCTCTGCCCCTTGTGTAGTCTTGATGGGGCTTCAGAGTGGCAAAGGTCTCTGGGGTCGGGGAGAGGAGGGCAAACAGTGTGGCCTGCGGAGAAGCCAGCAACAGGGGCATCAGCACCCAGCAAGGCTCTCCCGGGCTGCCGGGCGGAGGGAGGGCAGGTCCTGTGCTCTGCACTCCTGGAGAGGGCCTGGGAGCCCTCTACGCAGAAGGCTCACCCTCAGCCTGAGGGCCTTCCTCTGCCATGGGGCCGGCCAGTGCAGGAGCCTTTGGATAATCCCTTGTTCCTCCCTTTCCTTCCCTTAATCCCAAATCTGGCGTGGAGAAAGCACTTCACCCCAGAGAAGGTGACCAGCGCATGTCTGTCGAAATGACCATGGAGGGTAACCGACAAGGCTTTAACAAGCACCATCTAACTACATCCTTCGGCTTTATCCCCGCCCCCAGAAAAAGACCTTGGAAAAATCACCTGGGATGAGGCCGGCGCGATCCTTTCTCATGATGGACTCATCCTGCCATCTAGTGGTGGGAGAAGGGAGATGGGAAGGGACGGGACACCTGGCAGCCGGAGGTTAGAGCATGATGAACCTGCAGTCCCTGAGGCCAAGGTCAGGAGACACCCGGAACAGCCCATTGGGCACCTCAGAACTTGGAGAAGCAAGGGCAGGAATTATGCTCAAGAATAATTACAGTTGTTTCTTGAGCACTGACGACCTGGCAAAGACTATACAAAGTGCCTCTCATGCTTTCAATCCTTTAGTCCTCCCAGCAGTCCCGGTGAGGATGGGGAGAACAGGCCCAGAAATCAAGTAACTCGACCAGGTTCACACACCTTGTCAGTGTCAGAGGCAATCAAATCCAGGATTATCTGATTTCCAGAATCACAGAACGAGATCTCCATCCTTTCCATTCCATCACCCACACCCCCAACCCTAATCTACTCCTGGACAGCAGAGGGCGCTCTTGTTCACTGAGACGCACAGCCCCATTTCCACCCTCTGTGCCTCTCTTGAGTCCCCATGTCTCTACCCGGAACTCAAAGGAAATCCGTTCCCTCCCTTGGCCGGAAGACTGTTGGGCAGGAGTGGGAGAGGATAGTGGTGGAATCTTTTGTCCACTGTCAACAAATATTGAAATGTCTCAGACTAATTTGAAGTTGTTTTCCCTTCTTTGGTATGTGAGATTGACGTCCCTCAAGGGCACAGTCTCATTTCAGAGCAGCCACTGTCAAGTTTGGTTCTAAATCCTGGAAGGACTTCTCATGCTCTCCAGAAACAATTGTCGGGGCTGGTCCATGGCTATGCAGCCCTGGTCTGTCTGAGTCTTTTTTCTTTTCTTTCTTTGTTTTTAAGAGGCAGGGAAGACCAGGCATGGTGGCTTACATCTGTAATCCCAAAACTGCAAGGCTGAGGCAGGCAGATTGCTTGAGGCCAGAAGTTTGAGACTAGTTTGGGTAACATAGGTGAACACTGTCTCTACAAAAATAAAATAAATAAATAAATAAATTAGCTAGGCATGGTACTGTGAGCCTGTAGTCCCAGCTACTCAGGAAGTTGAGGCAGGAGGATCACTTGAGCCCAGAACTTTGAGGTGGCAGTGAGCTGTGATCACACCACTGCACTTCAGCCTGGGTGACAGGGTGAGACCCTGTCTCAAAAAAACAAAACAAAACAAAAAAGAGACAAGGAAGGTCTGTCCGGAGTGCAGTGGTGTGATCACAGGTCACTGAAGCCTCAAACTTCTGGGCTCAAGCGATCCTCCTGCCTCAACCTCCCGAATAGCTGGGACTACAGGCACACACTACTATGCCTGGCTAATTTTGTTACTTTTTTGTAGAGACAGGGTCTGGCTATGTTGTCCAGGCCAGTCTCAAATTTCTGGAGTCAAGCAATCCTCCCACCTAGGCCTCCCAAAGTGCCGTGACTGCAGGCGTGAGCCACCAAGCCCAGCCATCCCGGTCTTAAAGAACCAGCCTGCCATCCCAGCAAACACACAAAAAGTCCAGGGGGTCCTTGGGCCTGTAGTCACTCTCCACATGGGGGACCCTGTGGTTTATTTAGGGAACAGCAGTCATTCTTCCTGTCTGGCCCACCCAGATGAGTAATAAGTCACCTATTTTTAGTTTAGGGTTTTATTTTTCTTTTTCTTTTCCCTTTTTAGAAATTTATCCAGGCCCATTTCCCAGGGCTGAGCACTCAAGTTGCACTGACTTTATTGCTGGGGGCTTGGTACTTTGAAAAGGAGAGTGGTCCTCAAATGCACTTCAGTTGTATTTCCCCCCAGAATCAAAATTCATCTGCAACAATTTCAACATCATTTATTCAACACTTATCCCTTGGAGCTCTAAAAGACAAAAAAAAAAAAAAAAAAAAAAAGGCTGGCTTTTGCCATCACCAAGGCTCCTCTCCTGAGTGAGATTCCAGGTCAACGGCTCTCAGACACCATCATCTCTGTCCTTGCTCAGGTGCCTCTGTCATCACATGTGGGATAGTGGGGGATCCTCCCTTCTCAGAAGTGGACAATCTCTCACCCTTAAAAAGTATCAGTTACTAGCCGGGCATGGTGATGCATGCCTGTAATCCCAGCTACTTGGGAGGCTGAGGCAGGAGAATCTCTTGAACCCGGGAGGCAGAGGTTGCAGTGAGCCGAAATCACGCCACTGCACTCCAGCCTGGCAACAGAGCCAGACTCCGTCTCAAAAAAAAAAAAAAAAGTATCAGTTACTATCAGTTACTAGTTCTTAACACACCCCCCAATACACAAGACCAATGCACCTGTTTATTTACTTATTTAGAGACCGGTTCTTACTCTGTCACCCAGGCTGGAATGCAGTCCTATAATCACAGCTCACTGCAGCCTCAACTTCCCAGGCTCAGGTGATTCCCAACCTCAGCCTCCCAAGTAGCTGGGACCACAGGACTGTGGCCTGGCTATTTTTTTTTTTTTCCAGAGACAGGGTGTCACCATGTTGCCCAGGCTAGTCTTAAAATCCTGGGCTCAAGCAATCCACCCGCTTCAGCCTTCCCCAAAGTCCTGGGATTACAGGTGTGAGCCACTGTGCCTGGCCACTCTTTTCTTGTAATGATAGAGTCAATTAACGATTTACTCATTTAATCAATCAACACTTATTGATTACTTATTAGGTAGCAGGCACTGGGATAAAGATGAGTGTAAGTCACTCACAGTAAGAAAGAAAACTAGCAAGTAATATGATTACAATATGATATAGAAAATGCTAAGCCAGAGATATAGAAATGTCCTATGGGGTCCTTCTGCCTCCTTCTCTTTCCACATTCCTACCCTTCACAGGCCCTGCCTCCAGCTTCCTGCCCCACCCATTCTCCCAGCAGATTCTCTGGATTTTAGCCAGAGCTACATGGGGAGATGGCCTCACTGGGCCTGGCATGACTCAACCCCAGCCACACACTGGAAGGAGCCTTTGGAGAGTGGACCACTGTGATAAGAAAACGCACAGGAGCCATACGCAGTGGTTCACACCTGTAATCCCAACACTTTGGGAGGCCGAGGCGGGAGGATCAACTGAGGTTGGGAGTTCAAGACCAGCCTGGCCAACATGGAGAAACCATGTCTCTACTAAAAATACAAAATTAGCTGGGAATGGTGGCACATGCCTATAATCCCAGCTACTCGGGAGGCTGAGGCAGGAGAATAGCTTGAACCCGGGTTACACTGAGCCGAGATCCTGCCATTGCACTCCAGCCTGGGCAACAAGAGTGAAACTCCGTTTCAAAAAAAGAAAAAAGAAAACACATAGGAATGAAGCGAAGTCCACAAACATGCCACCAGTGCTGGTGCTCAAGAAACGTTTGTGGAATGGATAAGTGAAGGGTAGAGGGATTAATAGATGAATATTTGAATGATGGCTCAACAGGCGACTTCATGAATGACTCAGAGAAGAAACTTCCAATCTTGAAGCCAAACCAAATTCTAGCATTTCCAGTGCTGGTGCTTGTTCATTGAACACCGCGTTCCCCAGAAAATTCTCTACAAAGATGTTCGTTTTTTAAAATTAAAATGACTTAAAAGTTCACTGGGAATTTTGCGATGCAGTTGAGAAAACTGGAGTTGCCCAGGGGAATTTCAGCGCTGGGGGTTGAAATCACTCACCTGGGAGATAGAAGCACGAAGTCCCCAGGCCAGAGTCCTTTGAGGGGACTTGGCTCTCCAGGAGACAGAGAGCTACAGAAGGTTATTTAAACTTGAGGCTTCTCATTTTACCAAACAGGTGTACCACCCTTGTCACTAACTAGCAAGTTAAACGTGAATCAAACTACTGTGTCCCATCACCAGTGCTGTGCTTCCTACTGAAGAGAGGACTGCAGGAAATCCTTTGGTGTTACAAACAGTTGCATGCCAGTGTTCTGTCGCTGCGAATGTGCTGTAAAGAGGAAAAGGGTCAGAGAGGAAAGAGGCTGTGTGCTTGGTTCAGAGGCCTATCTGAACAGCTGCTTTTCTACAGGTCTTTGAAAGCTCCCTGGTTCTCTGACATAAACTGGCTGAAGCTTTTGACTTTGGGATTTAGTCGGTGGGTGAGCTTGACATCTTGGTCGGGCTTCATCTGATAGAAAAGACACATATTGGCTACTTCTTTTCCTGCAAGGTATTCCAGCTTCTCGTAAGCTTCCGGGGTAATCTTTTAAGAACAAATAAAAAGACAGAAAATGTTATTGTCCATACTTAAAATAGTTTGAAATGACATTATTCACCTTAATGGTGATATAGGTCCATAATTCTTTTTTTTTTTTTTTTTTTTTTGTGATGGAGTCTCACTCTTTCACTCAGGCTGGAGTGGAATGGCATGATCTCAGCTCACTGCAACCTCTGCCTCCCAGGTTCAAGCAATTTTCTCTGCCTCAACCTCCCAAGTAGCTGGGATTACAGGCACCCGCCACCACGCCTGGCTAATTTTTGTATTTTTAGTAGAGATGGGGTGTCACCATGTTGGCCAGGCTGGTCTCAAGCTCCTGACCTCAGGTGATCCACCCGCCTCTGCCTCCCAAGGTGCTGGGGTTACAGGTGTGAGCCACCGTGCCCAACCAAGTCCACAATTCTCTAGCCTAACTCCAAAATCCAAGAGACTCTAAAGCTTTTTTTTCCCCATAAGCCATTTGGCAGCAAACTGATCTTTTTGAACTAATTTGGTGGCAAACCTGACCTAACTATGTGAAGCTATTTATGCTCTTTGATTATACCATTTAGTGGAAACATTCAAATATTTTCCTGCAGAGATACAGGTGTGTTTGATTAAGGTTCCTGCTCCAGCCCCTGCTTGTGATGTTATATAATATACGTAGACAATAACCTATCTAAAAGCTGAAAGATTCTGAAAGCTGAATTGTTTCTGGCCTCAAGCCTTTTGGATAAGGTACTACAGATCCAGGCTTCGTGTGTACACCTCCTCTGTGTTTTTGTCTATACATCCTCTTGGTATTCCCTCACCAGCTCTCTGAAACCGTCCACCCACCTGGCCCTCCAGGCAGCGTCAAGATCCCCCCTCTTGGCCAGCGCAGTGGCTCACGCCTGTAATCCCAACACATTGAGAGGCCAAAAAGGGCAGATTACGAGGTCAGATTGAGACCAGCATGGCCAACATAGTGAAACCCCATCTATACTAAAAAAAAAAAAAAATACAAGCAAATTAGCTGGGCGTGGTGGCACACGCCTGTAATCCCAGCTACTTGGGAGGCTGAGGCAGGAGAATCACTTGAACCCGGGAGGCGGAGGTTGCAGTGAGCAGAGATCATGCCATTGCACTCCAGCCTGGGTGACAGAGGGAGACTGTCTCAAAAAGAAAAAGAAAAGATCCGCCTTCTCTGGCACCAGGCTCTCCTCACCTGGCTGACGGCCCATCCATCCTCGCTGCCCTTCTGGGTTAGAGGTCTGTATTTTACCTTCAATTATTGCCCCAGCCTTTGCCAAGGCCAGGCCCAAGCAGAAATGGAACCCATCCCACACTAACTGAGCTGCCTTCTGTCACCTTCCATAAAATCCACTCCTTGAACCCTTTCTTTTTGAGACGGAGTTTCGCTCTTGTTACCCAGGCTGGAGTGCAATGGCGCAATCTCAGCTCACCGCAACCTCCGCCTCCTGGGTTCAGGCAATTCTGCCTTAGCCGCCTGAGTAGCTGGGATTACAGGCACACACCACCATGCCCAGCTAATTTTTTTTTTTTTTTTTTTTGTATTTTTAGTAGAGATGGGGTTTCACCATGTTAACCGGGATGATCTCAATCTCTGGACCTCGTGATCCACCCGCCTTGGCCCCCCAAAGTGCTGGGATTACAGGCGTGAGCCACCGCGCCCGGCCTCCTTGAACCCGTTCTAACACTAACTGGATCTATAATTCCCCTTGTTGAATTAGCAAAACTCATTTCTATCAGATCTAGTATAATCTGTCTTTAGCCCTCAGAGATAAACTCTGACATTGCAATTCTACGTGGCCTTTAAAAAAACGTGACAGGCTGGGCACAGTGGCTCACACTTATAATCCTAGCACTTCGGAAGGCCGAGCTGGGTGGATCACCTGAGGTCAGGAGTTCAAGACCAGCCTGGCCATCATGGTGAAACCTCTTTATAAAAAAAAAAAAAAAGTGACAGACACAAACAACTCAGGTAAAACAATGGTTGTCACACATCATTCCTAACAATGAGAAAATTAAAAACAACCAATAAGGCCAACAATTGAGAAATGATAAAATTAATTGTGGTACATCTACCGTCAGAACATAATGTGGTGTAATGTTTTTAAAGAAGTTTAACAAAACAGAAAAACGCTCACAACATTAACTGAAAAGGCCAGAAACAAAATGGTACATTTAGTGTTACTTTAATTGTATTAAATATACGCATATGTATATATAATCCAATTTAGTAATTGTATTAACGTATATGTGTATATATATAATACAATTACCGAGTTATATAATTGTATGATAGAATTACTACGTTGAATGATACATATACATGCTTATATGTACTGGAAAAAGACAAGCAAACCTGTCAAATCTTAACAGTAGCTATCTCTGTGAGACTGAACTGTGTGTGATTTGTATCTTCTTTTTGACAATTTTCTGTTTTCTTCTATAAGCATTCGCTATTTTTGAAATCAGAAAAACAGTGAAAACTTGAAGTGAGTTTGGAACTAGAAGTCCATGTGAGAAGCATAGACGATTCTTCCATGAGTGTCCCCTCGAGTCACTCTTTCATCCCTAACTTTGATACCAAATGTGCTTTAGTAGAATAAGGGAATCTTTTCTGCAGCTTTTTGAAGGAAAGAGATCTGTTCTGCTGTGTCTCACTTTCTGAGAAAACCATCTTCCTTTGGGGGTTAGACAGTGGGAGGAAGTCAGACCGTGTGGGCTGGAGTGCCACCTTGTGGCCAGATGCACCCTTTCCCAGAATTGTCAGACCCTTTTACAGACGTTCCAGCCTCTGATGCCCTAGAGCTTTTGGTGGCCAGAGAAGCTTCAGCTGCATTATAAAACAATTTGTGTACCCAGAAGAGTCAGGGACCAAGTATGTGACTAATAGATGCTTGGAAGGCTCTGAGCAATTCAGAACAATGTCTACCGCATCCTCCGAGAATCAATACACACACTCATCCCCTATGCCCACAGTCTCTCTTTCTCTCCTTCCTTACAGAGTTCAAACCCACAGGACAAAATGAATGTATGACCCAAATGCAAATGGCCTGGGGGAGGGCTCACTGAGAAGTAAATATGCACCCGGGTACCAGGGACCTTGCAGATCCTCTTGTGAGTCCATCTTTGAGTGGGTGGTTACCTTCTTGGGTTTAGGAATAACTTAATCTCTCCGAGAAATGTGTGTGTGGCTTCAGTGAGATAACCAGATGTGGTTTCGTGGCTGGATTGACTCCTACAGTGGTTTTCAGGAAGCAAAAAGGATACCTTGCTTCCTCACAACTTCAGTATCTGAGGTTGAATTGGAAATCTAGGACCCTCTAGAATCATTGGACCAAGAGCTGCTCATCCAAACAAGAACCAACCTTCTATCCCCAACTCTAGGAAACATTCTAGAACATATGTTTTTAAGAGCTAGATGTAAATATTGTAGGCTCTGAAGGCCATAAGGTCTCTGGTGCAACTCGTCAACTCTGTCATCGTACCCTGAAAACAGCCTGTTTCCTTTTCCTTTCCACTTACCAGTACCTGCTTGAGTCGTGCTCAAAATCACCAGTTCTCCCTCTTCTGTAAACGTTTCTCCTGTGTCTGCCAGCCACAATTTCTTGGAGAAAATAACTTACCCCCAAGCCCAAGAAGGCAGCCACCCACACAAGGCCATTCCTGCATGATTTATAGCATGATCGGTTGTGGAGGGATTACAAAGCCCCAGACCCGGTGCCAAGCACCTGCTGTACAGATCTCATTTCATCCTTGCAATGATCCCTCAAAGGGGGTATTACAACTTTTTTGGAACACATGAAGAAACCGAGGCTGGGAGGGGTTAAGTAAATTACCAAGGATAGGGCAGAGCTAGAATTTGCCTACTTCCCATACTGCCTCTGGTTTGTCGTGTTTATTCAGAATTAGCCAGGCCAGCCTTCTTGGTGCCCCCGTACCTATACACAGTCATGTTTCCTCAAGGACCAGCTCAAGCCCATGTCTTCCATGAAACCTTTTTCCACCGTTTTCTGATCATCTAGAGCACAGATAGTCTGAACACCATAATTAAGCACCTATAGTGTCACATCTTGTAATGATTACAAGATGTAACAATCATAGTGACTTTATGGGCATCAAAGTTTTCACTCCAACCTTGCTGCAAAGCCCTTAAAGTGGCACTGGGTTCATAATAGATACTTGATACATCTGCTCTGTGCCAGTCACTATGATAAGCTCTTTAAATATATTATGTGTAATTTTCACAAGAACACCTGAAGCAGATACTACCATTCCCCGCTTTGCAACTGAGGAGGCTGAGGCTCAGTGAAGCTCGGTGCCCTGCTCCACAGCAGCTGGCTCTGGCCGACTGAAGTGGTCAGCAGTAAGGGCCTATGAGAGGAGCTGGGACGGTATATGTGAAAGGCTGCATTTCAGTCTTCACTTTCTAAATTCTTTCCACTCAAAAGTAATTTCACTTTTATAAGCCAAATAACCCTAAGTCAAAGAAATAAAGCCGTATGGGAGAGATTCCATTGCACCCATCGACGAAGATAGATTTATGGAACCAGAGTCCTTCTCGGTTTCTTCTGAAAGTCTAAGTTCAATCCTGCCTAAATCCACAGAAAGTCTACCAGAATGTACAAGTCAGTGGAATGTTAACCAAGGTGGCCTCTTGTGATCACATGGATGTCCCCTAAGAACTCACCTTTGCGTCTCGGACTTCTTTCCCCAAAACCTTGGACAGAACATCAGCATATTGCTGTATGGTTAGTTTTTCTGCACTGAGGCCCACAGCCTTGCCTAAAAATTCCTCTGGAGAATTAAAAATGCTAGAGACAGCTGCGCCGACATCAGCAACAGAGATACCATCCATCGGTACATCCCCCATTGGTAGTGCTAGTTAAAAAAAAAAATAGAAAAAGATAAATAGTTAATTATATCACATCCTTGGTAGGTCCCACCAACCCAAATTAATCAACCACTTAAATGAAAGGTATAGGAAGGCAATGTAAAACCCAGTGGCCACAATCCATATACAGATACAAGGTTTCATTTGAGAAATTACAGCCCAGGTGCAGTGGCTCACACTTGTAATCCCAGCACTTTGGGAGGCTGAGGCAGGTGAATCACCTGAGGTCATGAGTTCAAGACCACCCCAGCCAACATGGAGAAACCCCATCTCTACTAAAAATACAAAAAGTAGCTGGGTGTGATGGTGTACACCTGTAATCCCAGCTACTCCAGTGGCTGAGGCAGGAGAATCGCTTGAACCCAGAGGCGGAAGTTGCAGTGAGCCAAGATTGTGCTACTGCACTCCAGCCTGGGCAACAGAGAAAGACTTCATCTCAAAAAAAAAAAAAAAAAACAAGAGGGGGAAATTACTTTAGCACCTTGATACTGATTTAAAAGAAGAACCATGTATTTACTAAATATTTTTCTTTTTTTTCTTTTTTTTTTTTTTTGAGACGGAGTTTCGCTCTTGTTACCCAGGCTGGAGTGCAATGGCGCAATCTCGGCTCACCGCAACCTCCGCCCCCTGGGTTCAGGCAATTCTCCTGCCTCAGCCTCCTGAGTAGCTGGGATTACAGGCACGCGCCACCATGCCCAGCTAATTTTTTGTAATTTTTAGTAGAGACGGGGTTTCACCATGTTGACCAGGATGGTCTCGATCTCTTGACCTCGTGATCCACCCGCCTCGGCCTCCCAAAGTGCTGGGATTACAGGCTTGAGCCACCGCGCCCGGCCTTACTAAATATTTTCTATGTGTAGAGTATAATTAAATGTATCTCCAGGCAAAACTTCTGCTGAATTCTAGACTCACGTGTCCCACTACTTACTCAAATTCTTACCGACTGTTCAGTAGACATATTTAACTCAACAGGCCCTGAACTGAACTACACCCTCAACCTGCTTCCATACAGTCTCCTACTTCAGCTAATGGCGACCCTCTCATTCTGGTTTCTCAGGTCACAAATCTTGCAGTCAGCCTTGATGCTTCTCTCACATCCCACGTCCTGTTTTTTTCTTTTGAAACACATATGCATGATATGTACAAAATCTGGCCGCTTACTATCATCTTCAATGCTACCACCCTGCTCTAAGCCCCCATCATCTGTAACTTGGATTATTGCAAAATTTGTTTCCTTGTTTCCACTCTTGCCCTTTCATGGTCTCTTTTCAACATAAAAATCAGAATTATCCTGTAAAAAAGCCAGCTCAGGCTAATGTTACGTCTGCTCAGAAGCTTCTTTTTTTTTTTTTTTTTTTTTTTTTTTTGCTTTTTTGAGACAGAGTCTCACTGTGTCGCCCAGGCTGGAGTGCAGTAGTGCGATCCCGGCTCACTGCAACCTCCACCTCCCGGGTTCAAGTGATTCTCCTGCCTCAGCCTCCTGAGTAGCTGGGACTACAGGCGTCCGCCACCATGTCCAGCTAATTCTTGTGCCTTTAGTAGAGACGGGGTTTCATCATGTTGGCCAGGCTGGTCTCAAACTCCTGACCTCAAGTGATTCGCCTGCCATGGCCTCCCAAAGTGCCTGGAGTATAGGCATGAGCCACCACTCCCAGTCCTGTCTGATCAGAACCTTCTGCCAGCTCTCTGTGACTCTCAGAGGAAAAGCCAGTGGTTTACAAAGCTTATACAACGAGACCCTCAGTTAGTTCTGACCTCACCTCCCACTTCCCTCCCCTCCCTCATTCTATTTCAGCCACGCCGGCTATTTCCTCTTCTTGAAATGTTCCTCTCCTAAATACTCACAAAGCTCACTACCTGCCTTGTCAGAAAGTGCTCAAAGAGATCCACCCAATCATCTCGTTCACATCTCATGCACCACACTCCAACTGCACTCCCTTCTGGCAACAGAAACCAAGACTCAAAAAAAGAAAAAGCCATCTTGTCCGATTTTCCCATCAAACATGAGGAAACTGCCAGGCGTGGTGGCTCACACCTGTAATCCCAGCATTTTGGGAGGCCGAGGTGGCTAGTTTCCTTGAGTTCAGGAGTTTGAGACTAGCCTGGCCAACAGGGTGAAACCCCATATCGACTAAAAAAGGCAAAAATTAGCGAGGCATGGTGTTGGGCACATGCAATCGTAGCCACTCGAAAGGCTAGGCATGAGAATCATTTGAACCCAGGCTGCGGAGGTTGCTGTGAGCCAAGATGGCACCACTGCACTCCAGCCTGTGTGACAGAGCGAGACTCCATCTCAAATAATAAAAATAAAAAGTAACCTGAGGAAACGAAGGCTGGAGGTCACGTAGCTAACTCCAGTACTTACATTAAGGAGCGTCAGTATAGTAAGATTGGAAATGCAACCCTTTGTGTTTCTGATCCCAGATCTAGTTCTCTGCCCTGGAAGAGCAGCTTAGTGTAATCGCCCCGAGTGTCATCCCTCTTAGCACTTCACACGGCGCTAAACACACAGAAGGCACTCAAATGATGGGTGTCCACCCCAAAGGGGCAAGAAGGGAAAGAGGGTGGGCGGTGAGTGGAGAGGAGGGCAACCAACGTCTGGTGAGCTTTCACTTCGTTTTACCCAGGATGTAGTAATCTCCATCAGAGGCTTTCTCAGGCTTCCACGCCGTGAGAAAGTTTTCAAAGTAGGCCGCCACGCGGACACTGGTCATGGGGATGCCAAGAGACCAGAAGTACTCCTCCGCCTCGCCCTTGCCATCGAAGTGTGGCACCTCCAGCTTGCCACCAGTCAGCCGCTTGACGTTCTCCAGGCCGCTGTACACCACGTGCTTCAGACCTAGGCGTTTGGCGGTGTCTGCCACCAGCTTACCCTGAGAGTCAAAAGTAAATCCTCATAGACCACTGTATTTGTATTTGCACATAGACAAATATTAAGAGCAGGATCTCCTCCACCCACCCCACTGCCCCCCTTTTTTATTTTAGACAGAGTCTAGCAATCTCTGCTCACTGCAACTTCCGCCTCCCGGATTCAAATGATTCCCCTGCCTCAGCCTCCGGAGTAGCTGGGGTTACAAGTGTGTGCCTGCTAGGTTTTTTTGTATTTTTTAGTAGAGATAGGGTTTCACCATGTTGGCTAGGCTGGTCTTGAACTTCTGATCTCAAGTAATCTGCCCGCCTGGGACTCCAAAAGTGCTGGGATTACAAGTGTGAGCCAGGGCGCTGGGACCACCCTCCCATTTTCTTATTACCCTTATCCCTGTGGAGAGGACGCTCTCCCAGTCTCAAAATATGTTCAGTTTATCTTATGAGAAGCCACCACACCAGCACTGGTGAGTAGAGGATCCACTCCAAAACCCCCAAGCCCTCAGCCTGCTCCCACGGGGGCTGTAAGTGGGACACCTGAAGTGGGGGAGTAGCAGAATTAGGGAGGGGGCAGAGGAGAAAGGAACCCCAGGTACCTCCTGAAGCTAAGAAGCAACCTGATGGGAACTGGCCAGGAAGACATGGCCTTTTCCTATGGTATCTCAGTGTCTTTGTGGTCAACTGTGAGCGCATTTATCTATTTTCTATAACTGTGTCTAGTAATGGACTATATCTACACACCATTTGGATATAGAGGGCATAATGGAGGCGTGCGCGCGCGCGCACACACACACACACACACACACACACATACAAGTATATATATTCTCTTTTTGTGTCTGTTTTCAGATCCAAATTTTCCAAAGCACTTTCGTCTGTCTCTTCTTTTTTCCTTTATTTTTGCTGTTTCTTTCTTACTTTTTCTTAAAAAAAAACCTTGTGCAGCAGGCAGAGAAGACATAATTAACCTGGGTTAGCAGCAGAGAGGTGCCTTGCACTCCTGTTTCCTAGTAAGTGAATATCAGAATTGGAATTCAGAGCTCCTAAAATAGACCCTTTCAGAGTCTATCACGAAAACATGGGCTATGAGTGGTATAATTGATTCAAGAGACAGTCCTGCAACAGTTTGATCCTGCTTTCAATTTTTTGAATTGTGCTATTTCTTTTCTTTCTTTTTTGAGATGGAGTTTCGCTCTTGTTACCCAGGCTGGAGTGCAATGGCGCGATCTCGGCTCACTGCAACCTCCGCCTCCTGGTTTCAGGCAATTCTCCTGCCTCAGCCTCCTGAGTAGCTGGGATTACAGGCACATGCCACCATGCCCAGCTAATTTTTTGTATTTTTAGTAGAGATGGGGTTTCACTATGTTGACCAGGACGGTCTCGATCTCTTGACCTTGTAATCCACCCACCTCAGCCTCCCAAAGTGCTGGGATTACGGGCTTTGTGCCATTTCTTAAGTGGCTAAAACCATCCATTACATTTTTAAAATCAAATCTTCATTTTTTCCCAAATTTATACATATGCATAGTTTAAATTTTCAAACAGTACTGTCATGGATTGGGAGGGAATGAATCTTACAATGAAAAAGAGATTCCCGCTGGGTGCAGTGGCTCATGCCTGTAATCCCAGCATTTTGGGAAGCCGAGGTAGGCAGATCACCTAAGATTGGGAGTTTGAGACCAGCCTGACTAACATGGAGAAACCCCATCTCTACTAAAAACACAAAATTAGCCAGGCATGGTGTCATAGGCCTGTAATCCCAGCTACTTGGGAGGCTGAGGCTAGAGAATCGCTTGAATCCAGGAGGTGGAGGTTGCAGTGAACCTTGATCGCGCCATTGCACCGCTCCAGCCAGGGCAACAAGAGTGAAACTGCGTTTCAAAAAAAAAAAAAGAATCCCCAAGAGGCTGACGTAGGAGGATCACTTGAGCCCAGGAGTTGAGGACCAGCATGGGCAACATAATGAGACCCTGTCTCTAAAATAAAATAAAATGAGTTGCCTGTGCCTCTGTGCTGATCACCATTCTCCAGAAGGAACACTTTAATTTCATTTAGCTATTTATTTTTGTAAACATGTTTATACAACTGATTCTCAATTTTTTCAGTCTGAAATGTCATCTGCTAAATTCCTACTATGAAAGATGAGGATTTAATGATCTCTCTCTCGTTCGCTTGCGCTCTCAGCTCTCTTACTCGCTCACGTTGTCCACCACCACCACACATACACACAATTCCCTTTTATATTCGCCCAGTCATTGTTTTTGGCCAGATCAATATTCAGTGCCCACACACAGCTGAAGCTGAGTCATGTGCTATGGTTACATTTACTTTTTCTACAAACTTTCCTTTTCCCTGCATTTAATTTATTGTGGGTTTATTGGCTTGTTTATTTCTTTTTCTGAATACCCATTCCCAAATTACCTATCTGAAGTGTGATGTACTCATTACATCTTTATTCTCTCCTTTCACTCTCAGACGAACCTCAAATTTTGGGGTACACTTGCTACCACCCCCCATGCCATCTACAGACAAATGGTGAGAAGTGGAAGACCTAATGACTAGCTTCGTTAAACGATCACTCTAGAATATTCAAGGTCTTAAAAAGATACCTTTAACAAGTACTTAAAGTACATGTTTTTCATAAATGCCAAAAGAATGTAGGACATATATTTGCCCTGATTGAAGGCCTGTCCCCTTCTAGGAAGGAAAGAAGCAGCTGGGGAGGATAAGAGGAAAGGGCTCAAAGGGAGAAAAGAAACAAATTGGTTTCTACCTGTTGCGCTTCCTTCTCTTTGTTCAAAGTTTCCCAGAAGTTGGTCACCAAGAAGGCCCCATAGGCACCTTTTAAGGCATCATCCACGGATGCTTTATCATCCAGGTCACCTTTCACCACCTCAGCTCCAAGGTCGCGGAGCGCCAGGGCATCTGACTTAGTCACATCCCTGGTCACTGCTCTCACGGCAAATTTTTTGCTCTCCAAAATTGCCCTGGCCACAGAGCCACCTTGAGCTCCTGCGGGGTCAAGGGAAGAAGAAACACGGGAAGGGTGAGGAAGAATGTTCACTGAAAGAAGCTGATCAGAAATCCCACGATGCAGAGTAGAGCTGCTGCAGTGCCTCCTTCAGCGGGTGCTAAATGGCACTTCACATATCCGCATGGCTTTCAAACTAAGTTCTTCACGGCCTCTTCAGAGGCATTTTTGCAGAGGGTATGGGAAGAGACAAGTGGGAGAGGCTTGAGGCAACAAGAAGAGCAAGTGAGCAGGGTGTCAAAATCAGGGATGCCCACAGTCCTCCAGATTCAACAAGAGCAATTATTCTACTTTTACCTGGTTATAGATCTGATATTCGGCTTATTTAGACAGTTTGACAAAAGAAGTTCCTGGTCTCTCTCTCTCTCTCTCTCTCTCTCTCTCTCTCTCTCTCTCTCTCTCTCTCTCTCTCTCTGTATATATATATATATATATATATATATATATATATGTATGTATGTATTTCGCAAAATGCAGGTGGGTTGAACATTTTACCGTATTAAACCTAAACACACTGAAGTACCTTCTATTGAGTATAATTTGTGCTTTTGGCAGGGGGTTGCAGGGTGCTGGAATAGGTGGGGTGGGTCATGGTCCTTGAGAAGGATTCTTACAGGGCAGTTTCTATTATTGCCCTGGGACCATGTTCTTGAATGACTTTTACATGCTGTGCCATGCCCTGGGGACGTGGTGGTAAACAATACGGGCTTGAACATGCTGGATATAAGATATACTTTATGAAAGACATCATTTACGTATTGGATTATGGCCTAAAGAGTTCAAGGACTTACTCCAGATCATATAATGGTTAAGTAAGGATTTCAGGATTCAAACTGAACATGGCACCTGCCTGCACAGAGCTTGCAGACTAGCAGGGGAGATCATTAGAGAGCAATTATAGTACAGTGTGATATGTGCTCTTAGGGGAGCGGGGGAGGGGGCTGAGGGAATGCAGGCTCCAGAGGAGAACATAAGTGGAGCATCTAACCCAGACTAGAGGAGGCTTCCTGAAGGAAGTGGTAACAGGTGAGCCCTGAAGAACGGGCAAGAATTGGGAGAAGAGAGGCCTGCGGAGTGTGTTGCATGCAAAGTGGATTGCAAGTGCTTTATTCCAGAGGTGAGAGAGAGGGCAGTGAATTCAGAGAACTGAAATGAATCTGAGTGGTGAACTGTGGGCCAATGTCAAACATGAGGCTAGAGAAGCCAAATAGGCCCAGAGGGCTGCGCTTGTTCTGGGAGCGTGAGGTTTTATGAAGTTGAGTGGTATGTTCAGAATCACATACTAGGAAAAGCACTCTGGTTAGTGGAAAGCATGGAATAGGATAGAGAGACCACAGACAAGGGTACAATTAGTGAGCTTTAAAATAATCTAGGTGAAGATGATAATGACCTGTGCTAGAAGTATGATAAGCTAGAAGGGGTTATTAGGGTAGAGAGAAGTATGAAAATTTAAGATATACTCGGAAAACCAAACACTACATGTTCTCATTCATAAGTGGGAGTTGAACAATGAGAACACATGGACACAGGGAGGGAAACATCACACACCTGTCAGGGGGCGGGGGTCTAGGGAAGGGATAGCATTAGGAGAAATACCTAATGTAGATGACAGAGTGATGGATGCAGCAAACTACCATGACATGTGTATACCTATGTAACAAACCTGCACGTTCTACACATGTACCCCAGAACTTAAAGTATAATCAAAAATACTCAGAACATTAAAGGATATATTTTTAAAGAGTAAAATTATAATTTATACACACATAAAACGAATGTGTCTGCTGGGCGCAGTGGCTCACGCCTGCAATCTCAGCACTTTGGGAGGCCAAGGCAGGAGGATTACTTGAGATCAGGAATTCAAGACCAACCTGGCCAACATGGTAAAACCCCGTTTCTACTAAAAATACAAAAATTAGCCAGACATGGTGGTGTGTGCCTATAATCCCAGCTAGGGAGGCTGAGGTGGGAGGATCACTTGAATCCGGGAGAAGGAGGTTGCAGAGAGCTGAGATCATGCCACTGCACTCTAGGCTAGGCAACAGAGTGAGACTCCATCTAAAAAACAAAAAAGAATGTGTCAAAATTTTTTTGTTTAACTTGTTAATTAATGAAGGAACCAGTACAATGTTATAAGAAAAATTCAAATCACACACAATCAGAAATGCCAAAATGCTAAAATGAATGTACAATTATGGACACAACCAGTCAGTATCCACTGGGCAATCATCAACTGTGCTCCACCAGACACAATTCATTTGCATTTCCATGGACAAGAATCAGTTGCATTATTATCTATTTGCCACAACGTATAGAGTTATAACTATCTTTAAAACAAGGAAAGGCTCACAAAAAACGAGGATGGTGCCCTGGGCAAGGATACCCAGCAATCTTTTTTTCCCATTTCAAAGTCTTTCACAGTGTTCCTTGAAAAGATGATATCAACAGGATTTTGTTGATTAATCAGATGTGGTGATGATGAACAGGGAGGATTGAGAAAGAAAAGTCAAGTGCAATTATTTATTCAAAGAGGTTGAGGGGGCATTGAGCCCAGGTGTGGATGTTGGAACACAAGGGTACAATTAGATGGTTTTGGAGGCAAGGGAGATTGAGATGTGGGTCAGGGAAGGGATGCATGGAGAAATACAGGGTGGAGACTGAAAACTAGAGGGGCTTACATCGCTGGCAGTAATGAAGGAGAACAGGAAGGTGATGCGAGGTGGTATCAGCTGGCTTCAAGGTTTGAAAAATTAATCAGATTTGAAAGATGATTCTGTTTAAGGGTAGAACATGGAGGGAAGGCAAATGAAGTATGGAAAAAGCTTCTAAGAGGGAGAGAATCTGAGAGAGATTTAGAAGACAGAATTAACGAAGTGGCCACTCCTAACAATCTTCTCCACTGCCTGCCCAGGCTCTGGATGCTTAGTTGGCAATTCAGTTTAATGAGACTAACTCAAGTTTAAGGAGCTCCTGACCTTCTCTTCCTCCCCATATTTCAGTGCATCTCACTATTCTTTCAGTTCCTTAAGCCATACAATTTCAGAGTCATTTTCAACTCCTCCCTTCTTACCCCTGATATCTGGTCCATCAACAAACCCTGCCATCTATACTTCTTTTTTTTTAATTGAGACAGAGTCTCACTCTGTTGCCCAGTCTAGAGTACAGTGATGTGATCTCGGCTCACCACAACCTCCACCTCCCAGGTTCAAGCTATTGTCCCGCCTCAGCCTCCCAGGTAGCTGGGATTACAGGTGCTCACCGCCATGCCCAGGTAATTTTTGTATTTTTAGTAGAGATGGGATTCCGCTCTGTTGGCCAGGCTGGTCTCGAACTCCTGACCTTGTGATCTGCCTGCCTTGGCCTCCCAAAGTGCTGGGACCACAGGCATGAGCCACTGACCTGGCCTCTACTTTTAAAACCACTGCAGGATCTGACCACTCTTCACAACCTCACTGCTACCACCCTGGTCTAAGCTACTATCATTTTCCCTATTTTATGACAACAGCCCCTAACAGGTCTCCCTGCTTCAGCCCATACCCCCTATAGTCCCTTCACAAAGCATAAGTTAAAATGATCCTTTTAACACCAAAGTTATGTCATTCCTCTGCTCAAAACCCTTCAGTGCCTGGCATGGTGTGGACATCCTGCAGTCCCCGCTACGTAGGAGGCTGAGGCGGAAAGATGACTCGAGCTCGGGAGTTTGAGGCTATGCACTATGATGCCTCCCGTGAGAGTCACTGCACTCCAGCCTGGGCGGCACAGTGAGACTGTGTCGCTAAACACACACACACACAAACCAAAAAAAGAAACCCTTCGATCACTTTTCTGTTTCAGGAAAAGCCAGCATCTTGGCCATCACCTTAATGCTTAATCACAGTCATCCCCCTACCCATTGCCTCTTCTTTTCCATTTAATATCATACTTGACTGTTGATTTTTGAGAATTTATTTTACTCTGCTTCCTGCTTTAGCCCATGACTTCCTCCAGACAAATTACTGTTCTCATAGAGCTTATATTCTAGTTTGGAAAGACCAGCAGAAATAGAAAAAATCCAGTAGCCAGACATGGGCAGGGTGGAAGCGGAGTTGTAATTTCAAATATAGAGGCCTGGAAAGTCCTCATGGAGAAGGTAACATCTAGGCAGAGACCTGAATGACATGAGGGAGAAAGTAGTGGGGAACTGTATTAGTCCGTTCTCATGCTGCTGTGAAGAAATACCCAACACTGGGTAATTTATAAAGAAAAGAAGTTTAATTGACTCGGTTCCACGTGGCTAGGGAGGTCTCAGGAAACTTACGATCATGGCGGGAGACACCTCTGGGCGGCAGCAGAGAGAATGAGTGCCCAGTGAAGGGGGAAGCCCCTTGTAAAACCACCAGATCTCATGAGAACTAACTCACTAATGATACAAACACAAGACAGAGAAATACTGGGTAGAAGAGGGTTTCAGGCAAAGGCTCTACCCTCGAGCCTGGCTACCCACTGCCCTAAGTAAGAATAGGCATTCCTGTTTTTGCACCCAAAAAGCTGCCTTTGGCATGCCATGCCCCCTGTCCTGCACCCATATAAACCCTGAATCCCAGACTCCAGAAGCAGACAAGGAGATGAGGAGATGATCAGACAGCAGAGTGGCATAGCAGAGGAGAGAACAGAAGGAACATCAGAAGTTGGCTGGGGATGTTCAGAGAATCGGCCACAGGACAGCCAGGCTCCAGGGGAAGATCACATTACTACTCCATCCCCTGTCTAGCTCCCCATCCAGCCCAGAGAGCCACCACTCAGCACTCAAAAACCCCTGCATGCATCCTTCATGTGTGACCCAATTCTTCTGGGATGCTGGATGAGAGCTCAGGATACAGAAGGATGTCACACTAGCCCCCTTCTTCTGAAAAGAGGCAGAGGGTTCACTGAGCTAGTTAACCCTTAAGCCATGTGCAGATGGCAAGGCTGAAAGAACACACTGTAACGCACGCACACTTGGGCTTTGGAAGTTACAGACACTCAACCCTTGATGCTGCCATGGGACCAGAGCCCAAAAGCACTTGCCCCAGTTCTGCACCTGCCTGTTTGCATGCTTCCCCTCCCTTAAAGGGTTTGAGCTTGCAGTGGCAGAACAGGGAGCCACACCCCTGTTGCACATCATGTGGCGGTGGCGGGGGGGGGCCAGGGAACTCTTCCATGTCACTATTACGAGAACAGGATGGGGAAAACCGCCCCCAACATTCAACTATCTCCACCTGGTCACTCCTACAACATGTGAGGATTATGGGAACTACAATTCAGCATGAGATTTGGGTGGGGACACAGCCAAACCATATCAGGAACTGACAGAGACCGTTCTAGGTTAAAGAGGCAGCCAATACAAAGACTCTGGGGTGGGAGTGTTTTGGAGAAACAGTAAGAAAGCCAGGGTAAGGAAGCGGAATGAGAGGAGAGGGGCAGGAAGAGAGGTCTGACGAGGCATTCCCAAGGCCCTGTGGCAGGGCATTGGCAGGACTGTGCATTTTACTCGGAGCGCCAGGGGTCTGGGAGTTTTCAGAGGGTTTTGAGCAGAGGTGTGACACAATCTGACAGTTTCCAATGGATCCTTGAAAGGCTGAAATGAGAATAGACTGAAAGAGAATCACCTGATTTGATTTACATTTCAAAAAGATGGCTCTGACTGTTGAGGAACAAGCTGTAAGGGAGACAGGAGTGCAACCTCCCCACGCACTCCATCCTTGCAGAACCCCTGGAAGAACCCACAGGCCTCTCACACTGGTACCTTTTGCTTATTAGGAAGTGGAGAAAAGACTTTGGAGTATAGCTTATGTGGAAATGAAACTTATACCAACAAGTGTGCCCCATGATTGGGAAAGAGAGATGATGTCAGTGTCCTTGTCCTGCTGAGATCAAGTTATAAATCAAGTTAAATCATGCTGCCCCTTTACCACATCAAAAACTAAAGCAATAAGATACTTTAAAATTTTTGTCCCTAAAAATTAAAGATGTTTTTACCTGTTGCTCCAAACACTGTAATGACTTCCTTGCTGGCCATGTTACTGGGAAAAGAGAGGGTTGGTGGAGTAGAGGAACTTTCCTTGAAGGAGTGACAGCAGCTGAAATGCTATGTTTCTTCTCAAGGGAGAGTTTTAAACCCACTCTAATTACCGTATCAGTTATAGTGCCCCTCCTTTTTCCTGTTACCACTAGCCTGCTCATTCACTATGACACTGCAATTTTCTTTTTCTTTTCTTTTTTTTTTTTTTTTTTGCTGAGATGGAGTTTTGCTCTTGTTGCCCAGGCTGGAGTGCAATGTCACGTTCTCAGCTCACTACAACCTCCGCCCCCGCAGTATCAAACCATTCTCCTGTCTCGGCCTTTCAAGTAGCTGGGATTATAGGCATGTGCCACCATGCCTGGCTAATTTTTTTGTATTTTTAGTAGAGATGGGATTTCACCATGTTGGCCAGGCTAGTCTTGAACTCCTGACCTCAGGTGGTCGGCCTGCCTTGTCCTCCCAAAGTGCTGGGATTATATGCATGAGCCACCATGCCTGGCCAACACTGCTATTTTCTTTTTCTTTCTTTTTTATTTTTGGAACAGAGTTTCACTCTTGTTACCCAGGCTGGAGTGGTGCAATCTTGGCTCACCACAACCTCCACCTCGTGGATTCAAGCAATTCTCCTGCCTCAGCCTCACAGTAGCTGGGATTACAGGTGTTAGAAGTAAAAGGCTTGGTGCCTCAAAGTGAAACCAGCATTTCGGCAAAAGTTTTCTCAGTAAGGCAATTTACTTCTATAGAAGGGTGCATCATATGGATGGAGCAATGGTGAGAGCACACCTGGACAAGGGAGGGGAATGGGTTGTTACTTTTAATGCAGGGTCCCTACCTTTGTGTTACTTTCCTATGGGCTGGGGTCAGACCACACAATCTAAACTGACCCAACTGACTCTTGGTGAATATTTTCCCAAATAAGGAAGGGAAGAGGGATGTGCGAGTCACAATGGTGGAACATGCAGTTTCGAAGGATGGAATAGGTGCAGAGTGGTTAACCAAGGGAACAGATGTGGGTTATTGATTAGAGCTGACAGGCATGCTGTTTACAGTAACTAGAGGCAAGGAGGCATGGAGAAGAAGAAAGTTGAGTTTAAGAAAAAAGAACAAGGGAGTTAACAGGCTGAACCTTTGAAGAGAAATTTAGAGAAATTCTCTGTATCTTGCAATTACCCCCTTTTAAGTTTTTTATAATCCTTCTTTTTTAAAAAATCTGTTTAACAAGTTTTGCCTTTGCTGTTTGACTTGATCCTTTAAAAGGAAACGTTTACTTGAATGAATAGGGTGGAGAGCTAAGGGAAATTTCAGTAAGTGCTGTTTTTATAGGTTTCTGTATTAGTCCACGGACACAACACCCAACAAGAATGAGTATACCTACTACGTCTGCAAGAAAAGTATGAATTGAGGCTATGATTTCTTTTTATTTACCAAACTACCTTTTTAGTCATTTTGAATATGGGTCATTGATTTTAGAATATTTAGTCAATTTATTGGATAAAGTGATAAGTCCTTGTAAGGCCTTTGTTACACTTCCACTGGGGACAGTATTGTTTGGGATAAAGGTACAACATTGAGTGGTTTGTTTTTGGGTTTTTTTTTTTTTTTTTTTTTTACAGAGTCTCACTCTATCGCCCAGGCTGGAGTGCAATGGCGTGATCTTGGCTCACTGCAACCTCCGCCTCCCAGGTTCAAGCAATTCTCTGCCTCAGCCTCCCAAGTAACTGGGATTACAGGCTCCCAGCACCACACCAGGCTAATTTTGTATTTTTAGTAGAGACAGAGTTTCACTATCTTGGCCAGACTGGTCTTAACTCCTAACCTCATGATCCACCTGCCTCGACCTCCCAAAGTGCTGGGATTACAGGCGTGAGCCACCATGCCTGGCCACAACATTGAGTTTCAATTATAACATAAACTTCACCTTTTTTTACTAATATTATGTTGAGGGCCATTTTGTTTTTCTAAGCTATTTGGCTAGTAGGCCCTAATTGGTCAGCTATTTCTTTGATAGCATTTCTGGTGTAATTAACAAACTGCTGTTGATTATAATAGATGTAATTTATTTAATTTACACTTTTATTAGTGGTTAGCTATGGAAATACTGATTTAAATTCTGTAGCTATTTGGACCCAGGCTTTGAATTTATTAGGTTACACCCCCATGGGACTCCAGTTGTGTTTAAATAAACTTGGGAGTTATAAGATCCATAAGGGGCTTCTCTTATTTTACAGTGTTGTGTTTGTTTTCTCCCTCTGGTTGATGAAATGCCAGGGTGAAAGGGATAGCCAATTGACAAGAGCACGAGTGCCACTCCAGTTACTTGGCAGAGTGTCCAATAGGAGTTCAGCACAATATCACCATACATCGGCTCAAGGATGGATAAGGGCGGACTGATGGGGAAATTTCTGGAAGGGCCTAAGCTCACTGCATCCTGTGAAGTTTCCAAAGAACGTTAAGTTTTTCCTTTGTTATGAGAGACACGAAGTGAAATTGACTTTGGGAAACAGAAGCCGGATGGCCCTCAGGGGCTGACCCTCAGGGTGTTGGACTTTGGGATAGAGCAGAGAGAGAGCGTGGCATGATTTATTGCCCTAAGCTGTAGAATCTTGGAAGAGAGCTACCACGTAGCCCATGCCTGGTCGACTGGAGGACCATTTGAGTGGAAAGGGGACAATTTGGGCCTCTGGCTGACCGTGCACACAGCATAACAGTTGCTTTTGTTTAACATGCGGATGGAATATTTGATCCGTTTTAACCAGGCATCTGTATCTGGAAATTTTGTTTTAACCGTTGGAATTTGTCTTAATTATTTCTTCTCACAATATTTACTTTGGCATTGTCATTGGGCAGGGTAGAAGGTTTAGACAGAGAGGGAGAAGGGGACAATAAAATGCATTTCAAAGAAGCCTATAGGGCTGTCGCTATTGTCCTCTGCTCCTAAGCTGTAAAAGCGCTCTAAAGCGGGTGTAGGGTTGGCAGAGGTCGGAGTTTTAATGGAAATAATTGCTGAGTTACAATGGTGAGACTGATAATTAGAGGGTGTGGTTCCATTGGTAAAGTGGAGGTAAGATTTTAGGTCAGTAGAGCCATCTGGGGAGGTCCAGCCCCAGTCTCTGGTAGTGCAGATGACATCTGCTCGTTGAGAACATCACTCCTAACTAGGGGTGTCCCGGTACCCCCGCCGTGAGCAAGGGTGCAAGGTCAGTGGCTTCTCTGGAGAGGCAGAGGTATTTTTCTAAAGTAGAGATGTGTCTTTGCCATTGTAAGTCTTCAGAAGGTATATAACAAGGCAAGCATCAAAGATAATGATTGCGGTTGAGTCTGACCTAGTTACATTGACAACAAGTTGGCCAGCAATAGAATGAGAAAAGAAAAAAGAGTGATAGCATAGATAGAATAGAGAGTTAAACTTTTCTTAACTTTAGATTTTGGGGGGCTCCTTGGGGTAATGGCCCATGACTGTGGATGTGGCGGTGCTTTCTTGACTTAGGTGTGATGGGTCCATCTTGCTGTCTGGATTGTGGTTTCAGCGGTTAGAAGCACCAGGTAAGGTCCTTTCCAGGCCAGTTCAAGTTTTTCTTCTCTCCAGCCTTTAATACACTGGGAACTCCAGGGGCAGCACTTATGCTAGAAGACCTTTGATTTTAAGAGAAGAGAAAGTGAAGATAGGCCAACGTAGTTTATACACAGCATTATTTGTATTGACAAGAACTGCAGATAACCTAAGTATCAACCATTAGGGGATTAGTTAAATAAATTGTGGCAGAGCCATAAGACAGAGCGATATAGTTCTCCATTAACAAAAACAAACCAACAAAAAAAGATATAGATCTCCATTTAAAGTTATATTTTGCAGGAATTTTTATAATGTGGGACATGCTCTCAATGCAAAGTTATATGGAATCAGTGAAATAGGAGTTTTAAAAAATTATTTACATGGATAATGAAGGTAAGGAAGTCCTCAGTAATGTTTTCCTTTTCATGAAAAGCAGCCCCAACCTCATTTTCTTCTTTAACAAAGAGTAGCCTGTAAAGTCCCGCTGCAGACATAGACAAGCAAGCTGGAAGCTTGCATGGGTGAATGATGGCAGTTGTGCCAATAGGAAAAGGCTACTGGGACTAAGCATGATCAAAATGGTGGCTCTATCTTCCCTTCTCTTTGCCAGCCACGTGTACAGTAGGGAGCAGACAAGATGGCGCTGGCCCAGTGGAAAGCCCATTTGTATAATAAGATTAGGGTGGGGTGACCAGCCTTCCCCATACGCTATGTAAATGTCACATCTGGTCAAACCAATCCATGGGCCCTACATAAATCAAACACCACCTCCACAAGCCTACATCTAAAATCTGCTGCAGTCCACCACAGGCCAGCTTTTCCATTTCAGACGCCCCTCTGTCTTATAAGAGAGAGTGAGCTGCTGTCCTTTCTCTTTCTTTTGCCTATTAAACCTCTGCTCCTAAACTCACACTTTGAGTGTGCCATGTCTTTAATCTTCTTGGTGCGAGACAACATACCCCGGGTATTTACCCCAGACAGTGAAGCAGCTTCATCAGCAGTATAGAGATCTTCATATATAATGTGATTCAAAGATGTAAAGGAAAAAAAAATCTATACATGCACTCACATACACATGCACAGGCATGTGTACACCCACACATATAACCTGAGAGTAATTGAGTGATTTCATGCAATACCTTGGGGTAGAGCCAAAGGACTGGGTGGCATGACATGACATTGTCACACCTTGATTACAGTGTGATATGATGAAATGCACATTTTAAAAGTTGACTGAAAAAAAATCGAAAGTCTATAAGGGCATAACCATATTACTTATGGTACCCAAAAGTTGGAAGCAACCCAGACATCCAATTCTAAGGAGTAGAATGGTAAAGTGTGGCGTAGTCATACAATGACATACCATACAGCAAAAAGAACAAATGAACTTCAGCAACACGCAACAACCTGGAAGAACCTCACAAATATAATATTGAGCAAAAAAAGTAAAGGAGTGTCTAGCACATGACTCAATTTCTATAAAATCAACCACAGGAAAGACTAATCCATGGTACAGACATCAGAATAATGCATATTTTGGTGGAAAGTGACT